CAGATGCAATAGGTTTATAAATTTTGTGATGGGAACATGTAGATATTCTCTTATCTAAAAGCAAGGTCACCAGCTAAATGAGAAAAGTTTGAAATATTCATCTAAGAAAAGGGAGTGGTTTAGGTTTGCTCAAAGATCCACTTGAGGTGTCTATTAAAATAAACTAACCCCTATAAGTATTTCTTCACAGCCACATTCACCTGCTTGGTGCAGGCAAGAAAAGGGCAGATTTTGTTAAATCTAACTGATGGGGGTTTCGCCTTATAATATAGTGGAGAAAGGGAAGTTTGTTAAACATGCCTATTAGAGAACACAATCATAATGATGGACTGCCAAATCTAAGGTTGATACTAGAGAGAAAGAACTAAAAGATAGGAAGTAGCAGTGGCATGAGATTTGCTCAAAGGATGACAAGATTCGTTCTATCACCAAGGAAGCAGAGGACAGAACTCATTGAATATGAGACTAAACTAAGACCAGCGAGTCTGAATTACTAAGATAGATGGCAGGAATAGTGATGGAGGTCCTGAGTTACTTGGAGGAGGACTAGAGAACTTTAAGAAGAATGGATGACAGGAAGTTTAGCCTGGGTGACTTGAAAGTAGCCAAGAATTGGAGATAGGAACAAGTGTCGGGAGCAGCAAGGAGCCCATACCCAGCCACCCTGGAGTGTCCTCAAGAGAAGCAATGACCTCAGGGGAGAGCCAGATTTCAATCAGGAATGAAGGAAAAGTTCAGAGAGGACGATGAGGACTAAGATTCAGAGGGCAGCTTGGGAGCTAGAATTCAAGACCACCTATGTGGACTAGATAATTTTGTTACCCCTGTGGTTCTAAAAGATCCCCTGTACCTGCATCTTACTGTCCCGAGTCCAGACCTCAAGGCTCTACATCACCTCCCTGTCACAGCCTTTTGTTTTTAGCCCAGGGGAAGGGTCAATAGTAGAGTCCTCTTATAGCTGCGTAAGACAAACTATATGGTGCTAGAACCCTCAGTACAAAGGAGAGGGCACTGGAGCCTGGTTTTGGGTGGTATTTGTAGTGAGGCAGCCTGCTGGAGAGCTTTTGAGAAAAGAGATTCCAGACCCAGGGTGGCAAGAGCAATTAGTACCTTTATTTTAGGAGAAGGCTTTTAGAACAAAGCTAGTTTTCGAACAGAGTTAGCAGGCTGTGATGTGAAGTAATCAGCATTTAAAGTCCCTGGTTGTGAAGCCGTGTTGAGCTGATAAGCTTGGAAACATCTTGGCAGAAAACCAAGAAATAGGTATCATAGCACATGGCTTGCAACATCTTAACTCAGAATGGTATGTCTCAAAGTGATTTAACTGAGTTCATGTTATATCAAAGATGAACAGTAAAAAACAGGTCAGGGGAAGGAGATTGATCAAGTTATGTTAGATGCATGTATGAATATAGCATAATGAATCCCACTATTGTGTACAATTATGTTGCACCCACTAAAAAAAAGATGTAAAAATAAAAAACTGCTTCAGTGAGTTTCTAGAACAGTGTTGAAAAAGATAGGAAGCCAGGCGTGGTAGAACACACCTGTAATCCCAGCAGCTCAGGAGGCTGAGGCAAGAAGATCATGAGTTCAAAGCCAGGCTCAGCAAAATTGAGGTGCTGAACAACCCTGTCTCTAAATACAAAATGGGGATGTGGTTCAGTGTCTGAGTGTCCCTGAGTTCAATCCCAGTACCAGGAAAAGAAGAAAGATTGGGAGAAACAGGGAAAGACCTGGCCCTGAGCAGGAAGACTGGTAATGCTCTCGCTGTGTACTTTTTTATACATGCATTAATAGATCTCAAGCATGTTTCCACCAATAAGCTGTCAACTGAAGTATGATTAAGTTTACCTATAGGACAGGGTTTGGCAAACTGGCTTGTGAGCCAAATCCAACCCCGCCAATAATATTTGAAACAGCCACAATTGTTTACAGTTTTGTGGCTAGTATCATGCCACACGGCCCTTAAAGCCTAAGTTAAGTATCCCTAATTCAAAATGCACCAACATGTCAAAAATGGAAAAACCCCACATCTGGTCTCATGTACCAAACTGTCATGCACAAAATTACCTTCAGGCTATGTGTATTAGGTGTATGTAAATGAATTCTAATTGGGTCCTATCCCTAAAAAGCTTTACTATGTACATGCAAATATTCCAAACGCTAAAACACTTCTGATCACAAGCATTTTATAGATATGCATCTATCATATATACATTTTAGTTATACTTGGACACAATACCTTTATTTACTTATTTTTTAATGTGGTGCTGAGGATTGACCCTAGCACCTCCCACGTGCTAGGCAAGTGCTCTACCACTGAGCCACAACCCCAGCACCCCCAAGCATTTTGGATAAGGGATACTCAACTTGCAGCCGGCACTTCACTGAAAACTGTGGGAGCCTGTATTCAATCTGCTCACTAGGCACAAGAATAAAGAACTTACCCGGAGGGTGGGAGCTTCAGCCAACCTTCAGGAAGCCCAAACAAACAGTAATAGGAACATGAAGAAAGAAGCATTAGATTGTAGGGGTTTTTAGTTTTCTTGCTAGGCTCTAGATGTTTCTCATGTATCTTATTTTCTTTTCTGGTGGAGAAAGATCCTCTGATTTGCTTAATATGAATTTTTTAAACAACATACCTTCTTCATAGCTGTTCTTCAAATGCTCTAACTGGAGGCAGGCAAGAGTTCTCCAGACTTTATATGCTGTGGAAGAAAAATAATGGTTCAGATTAGATTTTACCTTGAAATAATTCTTGAAAGATAGAAGTTAGGAAGTCTTTATAGAGTTCTCAGCAGTGTGGTTCCTACTAATGGGCCCACACTTCCAAAGCACGTATTTTTTTTTAACACTTACTACTCTTCCGTGGTGTTATGACAAAAAGCCAAAGGAAATGGTAAGAGGTCTGGAAAGGTTTACAAGGAGGGCAAATCTTTTAAAGACACTACTACCCTATCTCTACACTTTGACTACTCTGCCCTCTGAAGGAGGTGGGTTAATTTGCAGGAGGGATACCTCAAAAGGACAGGACTCAAGCCTTGCATTCCCCCAAAGCATCTAGCACTGCCAGAAACCCTGGTGCAGATGGACTCACTTGTCACCATAGCACTGAAGCTGTTGCCCTGATGTAGCCTGGAATTGTTTGAGAATGAGACAGTGAAGGGAGAGCAATTAATTGGTAGGGTTAGAACTACTTACACTGGCCAAATAACTCAGAGAGCTTGTCAAATACCCCAAACAACTAATGGAACGCAGGATGAGTTTGACCTCATTCCTTTGCCGAGACTAAACACACAATGGAGCCTCCAGGCTCAGCGTCCCACAGAACTCTTGGGGTCAAGAGACAAGGAAAAAAAGACTGAGTCATCACTCTGGAGCTAAACAATGACCTTGATATCCTTCTGCCTCCTCCCAATTCTGCCCCCCCACCCTTGACTTCTCTTGACTTCATTACTGTGGCTCCTTCTAGGACTCAGACCCCCACATAAGGTTAGGTTGATGAGACAGGGAAAGCAGGAGGCAGATTGCTATGGTAGTTCAGAGATGTGCAATTCAGAACCCAAATACAAGGTCCAGTTGCCATTCTGTCATTTTCTCTCCTGTGTGATCTTGGACAAATAATATTTCATCCCTGTGCTTCATGTTCCATGAAAGTAAAGAGAATAATTCTATATCAGAAGAGGGTTTTAGAGACAAAATGAGGGTTTTTTTTTTTTTTTTTTTTTAATAAATGAAGTACTTGGGCAAAAACAACCAGTTAGCATATTGCGTCTACCTGTTATTACTACGACTTGCTGCTCATGTCCAGGAAAATCACTCTAAAAATGAGCTCAAGTTATCACCCTCTGAGCCCTATTCATCTGCCTATTTGCCTCAACATCCAAGTTGATGGGTGTAACTGGAGGAAAGTACCCAACTGTGCTGACCAGTCTCATCTGAAATTCACATTCCACAACTTCTGGAAGGCACAGGGGCACCTGAAGTCCTACAGTGTCACACCTGTGCTCAGTCTCAGATGATAACCGTGCTAATGCTTTCACCTCAGGAGAACACTACATCCTTCCCCTCATCTCTACCCAACAGCTCCAGATTATGCCCCTCAGGAATGAACGTGGAGCTTCCATCCTTCCACTCGTTCAGAAGAGCCTGGCGCCATCTTTGACTCCCGATTCTCTCACCACACCTGAGTTAACCCAAATCCTATCAGCTTTCCTTCTAACCCCATATTGAATTTAACCACTTCCTACCAATACTTTCCCTGGTCCAAGCCATCACCTGTCACAGCCAGGTCCTTTCACCCTTACCTCTGTATTACCACATAAGCTCAGTGATCCATTCTGTGATGTCTCTTCACCTCGCTCAGACTTCAGGCCATCTGCTTACTTGCCAACCTCGGCCTCCGGCCTCTGGTCCTTTCCATATGCTGTTCTCTATGCTTCTAGAAAGCCCTTCCCCACAAGCTTCTGTTCCAATACTGTCAAGTTAAGCCTTGACTACTCACCCTACAGAAAAAAATACCCTTCTCTATGTTCTTTTGTGCTATAATTTTAGCCCCACTTAAACCATCTTAGGTATTTACTTGGTTGTACAGTCTTGCCCCCAACGTTGGGCTGCAGTCACCATGAGGGTATTTCATTTACTGCTATATCCCAGGCCCACAGCACAGAGTCAATAAAAATTTGTTGAACAAAAGCCTGGATGAAGGGTGTCCTCCAATGTCCGTGAACAAAGCAGCTTAGAAAATGGGACTCGCTGGGCCCTGATCTATCCCACTTTCTACACAAACCAGCTGTTTCATCCACACTGGCCACCTGAGGAGCTCACGAACCCACCCTAACATCCCACAGTCAGGAAGGGCCCAGCCTGATCAGATCCAGGGCCATCTGATTCGAGGCACAGGTAGAGAGAGGACAAATGGCTCATGTCAGAAGGGGCAGTGTTCACAGGGACACTCACCTTTTACGATGATGGCTGACTTTGGTGTCTCCTCTCAGGTTCATGACTACCTCCGCAGCAAGTTGTGCTCCCTCTACGAAAATGACTGCATTTTTGATAAATTCGAGTGTGTGTGGAATGGGTCAGACAGGTAAGAGAGGCTCTTGGAAATTAATCCTAAGTGGGGTGAAGCCAAATGGGGGTCAAAATTGGGCCTCAGGGTCCAGCTAGGATGCATTCTGTGGGTCACTGGATGGACCCTGAGATCAGGCCTGCAAAGGAAGGAGACCCAGGGTCCTTTTGGGGACTGACTCAGGTGACAATTCAAGAAAGTCCTGTCTTTGACACACAAGACACTCCCAGAGCTGGGTCAACATGCCTAACAAAGACCACAAAGAATTCAACAGCAAATCCCAGCCTGAATAGTTCCAAGTACTACCAAATGAGCTTTCTAGATCAAAAACTCTCCAAGCTGCTAGTATGGACCTGACCGGAGGCCCTGGTGGTTCATTAGCTGATTCTCCTCAAGCTCATTTATCACATTCCCTCCAAGTGATTTATTACTGTTTTAAGGCCTTTGATTTCACCAATACTTCATATTACCTCCCAATAGTTCATTTTTAGTTTGACAAATACAGATGAGTCTCCAGCTTCCATGAGAACTAGATGCAGGCAACTGGGGGCTGGCTTAGTTCCCTGATGAAGGTGGCACTGGTAATAGTGTTTGGCAGCACGGGAATCCTTCATGGCAAGACACTCGAGCATTAAGCTTTAGAGAGCACAAGCCGCCTCTCTCAATTGTTCTTTAGCTTTCTTTGCCACTGACCCAAAATGAACCCCCTGCTTAGCAGGTCGAAAAGGAGTCACCACGTAGCAAAGGACTCCAGTCAGTCCAGTTAATACAGGCCAGAGAGCAAAGCAACTGTGACATGTGAACAAAAGCCCCCAAGGGCAGAGAAGCCAGCCCTGTTATTTTCCTGTATTTATTCATAATAAGATATTAACAATATCTTCTAATAATCATTCCACTTTTCCCCCTATCTTAGGCTAGCTTCAAAAACAACACTTATTAAGCACCTACTACTGGGCACTTTCCCACACATCATTTAATCCCAACCACAGTCCAACAAGGTTGCTTTCATTGTCCCCATTTTACAACTGCAGAAACTGAGGCTTGATGACATAAAGAGTAGCCTGCCCAACCTCACAAACTAGTACATGGTAAATACCAAAGAAGTTTTGAATTTGAATCCTAAAAATAACATCTCCTCTGTAACATCACAACTAGGAAATTTTGTTTTGGGTCCAAATAAGATTAAGACATTTTCCAAAGACTTTCTCTGACTTGTCTAAAAACCAGCCAGGTCATGATGGGGGACATGAACATCAATGCCCAAGACGCAGTGAGCCCAAGTGGCTGAGGGCTTACACCCTGGAGACCAGTGCACATGCAAGTTTGAGGCCTGACCCTGTCACCTACTAGGACTGTGACTGTGCAAATTACTTACCTCTCCACATCTCCCTTTCATGGGCTCATGGAAGTTGAAATGAGATGGTGGAGGTAGAGCCCCAGAACCCTGTGTGACAAGGTCACCGCAGTTCACTCTAGCACAGAGAGAAACCATTCATAGCATCAGTTTCTTAGACCAGAAGAAGAAAATCCAACCTTTAATTTGCACAGCTGACAAAGTATCCCCCACCTTGCTGTGGCTAGTCTTGTTAGCTTTTCCTTTCACCTCTGTGACACTGCTCAAATCATGCAAAAAAGAGATGAGGCTGGGCTCTCCTCCCAGTCCTGAAGCAAGTTCTCACCAGCCTCTCGGGTAACACCCCTCACATACTGAATACTAGTCCAACAGGTTTTCAAATGTTTCTTTGGGTCTTCATTTGATGTATTGACTCTAATTTCCCTGTGCTAAAAACAATTGGAGCAGAATTTAAAGAGTCCAACTCCCCAGTTGTGAGAAAATTGTCGAACCCAGTAGACTTGGGCCAATTCTGTTTGAGCACTTGCAGTCTCTTCCTGGCCTGTTGCCCTGTCTAAAAAGTCACCATTTAATATTCTACACCTTGCTACTGGAAGACTGTAGGGACTCACTGCTCTTCTGGTCAATTGTAGATGTCCCCAAGAATGGAAAACACTTGTAAAAATGTAGAAACCCCCTGACCAGCTGTTCTAATTTTTTTTTTTTTTTTTTTTTTTGGTGCTGAGGATCAAACCCGGGTCCCACCCGTGGTAGGCGAGCACTCTACTGCTGAGCCACAATCCCAGCCAGCCCCCTAAAATCTTATTTGTCCATTCCAAATCCTTTTAAAACTTATTTACTCTCTTCCTGAATAAGACCACGATGACATCCATTTTATAGGCAATATTTCTAAAAAGGTTGAATTAAGATCTGGTTCACAGAAGCGGTTAGGCCACCCTGTAATCATGGTGCTGTGTCTCAGCATTTTTCTTACCAGGTAGACGTAATGAAGCCCTACAGGTCAAACAGTCTGAAGAATACTCCAACAGCAGCTGTTATTTAAATAAGTACAATTTGTTGTTTTCAAAAGTGTTTCTACTTACACGACCCCACTTGAGTCTCCTAATCCTGATAGGAGAGAAGTAGGGCTCAGATCATAATAACTAGACTCATTTAGGTAGACCAAAGAATCAAAAGGAATCTATAGAACAAAAGTAAATAACAAGAAGGGTTATCACCATTAGTAATTCAAAAGGAAGTCCATGGTCACAATAAAGATTTTTCTTTTTTTTTGCCGGACATGGTGGTACATACCTGTAATTCCAGTGGCTCAGGAAGCCAAGGGAGGAGGATCATAAGTTCAAAGCCAGTCTCAGCAACTCAGTGAGGTCCTGTCTCTAAATACAAAACAGGACTGGGGATGTGGCTCAGTGGTCGAGTGCCCCCGAGTTCAATCCCTGGTACCAAAGAAAAAGAAAAAGGTCCTTCCCCCCCACATCTTTAATAAAACCTATAGTGCCATAAGCTGGTTATGATGCAGTATCATTTGCTTACTTTCACTGTAACACCCAGTCATCCCCCCCTTTCCTCTCTATCTTGCAGTGTCATCATGACAGGCTCCTACAACAACTTCTTCAGGATGTTTGACCGCAACACCAAGCGTGATGTGACCCTTGAGGCCTCGAGGGAAAACAGCAAACCTCGGGCTATACTCAAGCCCAGAAAAGTGTGCGTGGGGGGAAAGCGGAGAAAAGACGAGATCAGTGTCGACAGTCTGGACTTTAGCAAAAAGATCTTGCATACAGCTTGGCATCCTTCAGAAAATATTATAGCAGTGGCGGCTACAAATAACCTATATATATTCCAGGACAAGGTTAACTAGGTGGACAAGTTATTACTTAATCTCACATACTGAATACTAGTCCAACAAGTTTTTAAATGTTTCTTTGGGTCTTCATTTGATGCATTGACTTTAATTTCCCTGTGCTTAAAAACAATTGGAATAGAATTTTAAAAAGAGTCCAACTTTCCCAACTCCCCAGTTCTGAGAAACTTGTCAAACCCAATAGACTTGGGGCCACTTCTATTTAGAGTTGAGAGCTGCCAGCTAACAGTAATTCTTCCATAGTTGACTTGAATTCTGATGCTTTTATTGCCCAGTTTTCTCTGGTGGGTCCAGTGTTTTGTTTCTAGGTGTCTGCTGCGATAAAATGAGGTTGTCTGTAGTATTTAAGGAAAAAAAGAGAAGTTTTTTTTTTTTTTAATTAAGCAATTCCATTTGATTGAAAAAAAAAATAAAACACCGTTTACTCTTAGAGACACTCTCTTTATTTTGTGCAAAAGTCAGAACTGGTCAGAATCTCCTCTTCCCGTCCATCAGCTTCTTTTTTTAACAGTTTCCTTTGCACCAGAGATTTATTTCACAAGGCTGAGAAGAGGATGCAGAATGAGAAGGGCAGGGACACTGCACCACCTCTATACCTCTTTTTCTAAGCGCCATAGAAACAGCCCGAAAATCCAACCAGGAAACCCCGTGAATGCTGCGGGGCACAAAAAGAACACTTTCTACACAGTGCTCTCAGAGTTGGCTTGGCAAGGCCGTGCGGGGCCCGATCCAGCTGCTGCTTTGTGTCTCTTCCTTTTTGTCCTTTCCAGTGACTCTACAGAATCCTCTACTTACACATTCGCTGGCTTTCTCCCCTCAGCCTTTTCCAGCTTTATTTATTCCGTTGGCTTCTAAAGGCCGCGTCCTGGTTGCTTAGTGTCTGGTCTTCTAAATGAAGCAGTAGGCTGGAAGCCAGGCACTACCCTGGCTCCCTGAGAAAGGCTGGTCTGTGTTGGGTGGGTTTGTCTCCTTAACAGCCCCCTCCCCTCTCCCTCCTGGTTTTGGAAACCATAAATCTCCATTGTACCTAGAACCAAAAAGAAAAAAAAAATGGGCCAATAAAGATGCTGACTTGTGAAGTCTGGTAAAGAGCCTCTAACGCATTTCAAGCTCACCATCTGGAAAAGTAGTCCCAAGGGCTGTCTCCCTACAGGAATTGGGACACAGAGAAAGAAGCTATGACATCAAAGCAAAGGAAGTCCCCTGGAAACAGGAGACTGGTTCATCCTTCCCGCGAGTTGAGGATTCAGACTTATAAGTTCTTGAAAGCCACTTCCAGAAGGTTCTCTATGACACACCTCTAATATGGGTCCTAAATGAATTCAAGGATTTATAAATTTGGATAGGAGGCTTTAGAGAGTAGGTGGATAGTATTTAGACAGTGGTATCTGAGTTCCTGTCTCCAAATCTGTCCTGGTGACTCACTTTTAACTTCCACTGTGGACGAGAGATAGTATTAGAGGTTTTTTCACTGAAAGAAAAATTTTCTTTCAGTTTGTGAATTTTTTTTTTAAAGAAGTCCCAACTTTTGAATATAATTTGCTTTGGAGGAGAAAAATTAGTGAGAAAAATTAATAATCATATTGTCTCAATTCTAAGCTACTATCCATAACATAACAGTTTTTGGGGGGAGGAAATAACTTTCTACTTCAATAAACATTTGTAAACTGCAGCCCAATTTCAGGAATATTAAAACGTGAACAAGGGTTTCCCATGTTGAGGTCACCTGAGGATGAAGATGAGATTTTCCCAACATGTCCTATGTTCCCTGCAATAAAGCCACTTCCTGGGCAGCTCAGGAAAAGTGGCCCAGGCAGAAACTGTCTGTTCAAGGATAATGGCTTCATGGGAAGAATGTTCTTGAATGTGACTTGGAGAATTCTCTTGTCTCCGAGAATTGCGAGGAGTAGGAACACTGGGTGCTGGCCCACCCACTTCCTCTGTGGCCTCTTCTCCACTTCTCTGAGGACTCTTCTCCTCTGTGCCAGGTGGAGGGGTTGTGCCAATCATTGTTTCTCAAATTAAGCATCCACCCACCCTTGTACTAGTGTTCATTTAGTATGATTTTAAGGAAATGTGACTTAAGTACAGTCTGAGCCTCCTCCAAATAATATTCATGCAACGTCAGTTCTGATGTGCCAGAATTTTCTTCTAAGGTTAATCACATAACCATTCATATAAAAAACATGTACCACCTAAATCATTTTGTGAACCACCAGGAGCATGTTTATCAAACTTCAGCGCCTGAGTAACTAGTATGACAACATGTAGCCTGTGGAGGCACTGGAGAGTCTCCATGGTACACACACTGGAGTCAATAGGACCAGCACGCACAGATGAACAATTTGAGCCATTGTTTCAGGAGCTCAAGGGCCCCCTTCGGTTCATGTGTGGGCTCCAGATAAAGACCCCTACACTAGCCCAGCAGCCTCAGCATGTAGATGAACAACCTGAAATTCAGGAATAGGGAGGATTTGCTGGACAGATTAGAGGAAGGCCTCCATCCTCTCTTCAAGCCCACACCTACGATGCCTCACGGCAAAAAGCCAGGAAGACAGGGACAGGTGAGGAGGCTCTGGAGAAAGCCCTGGGCAGCAATACCCACCATCCCCAACTGCCTGCTCTGTACCAGGTGCTGAGCTAGGAACTTAACATTTGTGATCCGCTGCTGCTCTAGTAAAGTTTCTTAATTAGCAGCCCACAGAAGTCAGTCTCTCTTCCAGATGACAGTAAAAGCTACTTGAAGGCTGATTTGCCTCCCTTCCAACCATTTGCTTGGTTCTAAGGCCCTTGCTTTATTTTATAATGTGAGTGCCATCAGGTGACAACTAGAGAGTGCCAACTATGTGAAGGAAAACAAGGCACCTTCTTGGACTTAAATCTTCCTAATGCAGCATTCCATTCCTAACATTTTTAAAACAATTCAAAAAGCTGAACTTTTTATTTTGAGACAGGGACTAAGTTGCTTAGGACCTCACTAAATTGCTGAGGCTGGCTTTGAACTTTTGATCCTCCCATCTCAGCCTCCTAAGCTGCTAGGATTACAGGCATGCACCAACACACCTGGCAAATGATGGTACTTCTAACCATGAAATACTATGCAACCAAAATCTTTTAATCCCCTATTCCATTTTGGGCCACTGGGGATTGGAACTGGGGCCTCATGCATACTAGGCAAGTGCTCTACCACTAAGTATATTCTTAGTCATTTTCCTATTTTTTATTTTTCCGGCAGGCTCCTGCTAGATTGCTGAGGCTGGCTTCAAACTTGCCATTCTCCTGCCTCAGCCTCCCAAGTATCTGGGATCACACCTGTGGGCCACTAACACCCAGTTCCTGACTAATCTTTTAAAAAATAATTTTGCAAATGTGCTAATATGTTTATAGGACATATATCCTATGAATTGCTACATCAAATATGTGTGCTTATACTTTTAATAAATATTATTAAATGATGCTCTTTTCAGGTTGAACTTAAAAAAAAAAAAAAAGCTGAGCTTTGACAGGCACATCTGCTTTTGTATCAGGAGAAGGAAGATAAGTCAGAAGAAGTGAGGAAGACACTAGCCAGCATAAGCAGGGGAATATACAAGGAGACAGGCATAGGGACTGGTCTGCCTCTTGATTCCTTAAGGTCTGGCTCCTGCCACTACAGCACCACTCCCTAAGGCGGTACAAGCACTCCCAACCTGCTCCAGTCCTGGGGAGATTGAATCCAGATGTGCTCTGCCACTGAGCCACACCCCAATCCTTTTTAGTTTTTGAAACAGGGTCTAAGTTACTGATGCTAGCCTTGAACTTGCAATCCTGCTGCCTCAATCTCCAGAGTCACTAGGATTACAGGCATGTTCTACTATGCCTGCAATAGCACTTTCTGTGGACCACCTCGTTCGTTTTCCCCTTAACCCATGATGACATCATTACTCCCACTTTGCAAATGAGGAAATAGACTCAAGTGTCAACATAGCTCAGGACACGCAGCCAGTAAGCAACAGAACCAGGACTCCAATTCAAGGTATCTGACTCTGAAACCAGAGCTGCTAAAAACTGGGTCTAATAGACAATTAGCTAATGTTTATCATGCACTTCTTAGGCGCCATACTTTGTTCTACAAATTTAACATATATTCATTCATTTACCCCCAAAACTTTGGGTGCAGATATAGTCATGAGTCCAACAAGGACAAACTGAAAATGGTGAATCTCAGTGTCATTATTGAGTGAGCATGATAGAGTGTACTTGCACAAATTGGATAGTACCATCTACTGCACACGTAGGCTACATGGTGAAGCCAGTTGCTCCCAGGCCACAACCCATACAGCACATTCCTGTGAAGACTACAGGCAACTGTGATGCAATGGCGAGAGAGAGAGAGAGTTTATAAACAGATTTGTTTGCAACAGCATCACCACAGACACATTGCACAAGGACATTCAGTCATCTACAATGTGAGACAGCTACATTGATACTGGGCAATAGAAATTTTTCAGCTCCATTATAATCTTACAGGACCACAGGGTAAATGTGTTTCCTCCCTGACCAGTGCACAGTTACACAGCACATGACTACTATTACAATTAAGAAAACAGATGACTAAATTCACACTATTAACACATGACAAAGCCACAGTTCAGTTGAAATTCTTATCCACTATCCCCATTCTCACATTACATACATGCATGGGAGGTGCCGATTAGAAGACATGATCCCTATGCTCACCAATTTGAGGGCTCATGGATCGCCTGGGATGTGTCAGGCAGCCAGGCCCTAGGCAATGGTTATATATCTCAATCCTGAGATATATAACCACTCACACTGGCTGCAAGAGATGACGGTCATATAGGAATAACACGTGCATTATAAACATTTACAACGCAATGAGATAGAAATGAAGAGCAGATACAGTACAAAGGAGGAAACTGCCAATCAATGAGTGGTGAAAGGTTACTCAGAATAAGTGACACCCAAGCAGAGTTCTAAAGCATATCACCCAGCCAAAAAGCATGCTACGACACTTCCGTTTGGTCAAACAAAGGTGAGGAACTGAAGTTAGAATTGGTGTGACATGCAAGCAGGAAGCCGACGCTTCTCTCATTCTATTAAAAACACATTTTGAGCACCAGCCCACCTTTCTTTCACTCATCCAGCAACATTTATTGAGCTCCCGTATCTCAGCACTATATTTAAATGTAAAAGTAGATGGAAGAAATAAAAGGAAACTAGTATTTGCTGAGCAATTATGTGACAGGCATTCAGCTAGGCACTTCTTAAAATCATTACGATCGCCTCGTGGGTGGATGTATTATTCCATGTTTATTGCTGAGAACCAGCTTCCAAGAGTTATGTGACACAGTCAGAAGTTCTATCTAGCTCCATCCTATTCCACATCCTTTACTTCCACCTCGGGGGTTGGTCATGCATGTATCCTTT